GATCGGTTTGGCAAGAAATAGTTGCCTAGCCTTCCTTTCTGCAGGCATTGGCAACACATGGCAAAACTCGTACAATTTTAAACAATTAATTCTTCTTTCAGGTTGCTTCGCTGTCATGAAGCCACCCGTCGCAAATGCTACGCAGGCTCTTTCCAGAATTTTTAGCACAAGCACCAAATTTCAAGTTGTTTTATTGTTTTTCAAGTTGTTACTGTTGGATTAGATAGCTTTTTCTTTTGAACCGCTTAGTTCCTGACCGGGACTGTTCAACCAGAGATTTGGTTCTTTTCCTACAAAATACGAAACTGTCATAAAGAAGTACAAAATGCATGAAGTTTGCAATAGCAAACTAAACGTTGGAATGAGCAATAGCGATTTATCCTCAAAAGTAAAACCCGATCTTATGGGCATCCTAGCATATTGCTAGTTATCGATACCGCCACTGAAATATTTAATCGTTTTTAGCTTTTGCTACAGGATTCAAGTGGCAGAGACACCGTCTGTTTCTACTAGTGGTCTAGGGGACCATTTAAGCCGGCCACGGCTCCATGATACTTGAACAGTTGCAGCGCACGGGTGCAGAACAGTATCACTTGGCAAGACCGAACAAGAACTTATTCAGACTCCTGCAAATATGCCACGATCCATAGGAAGATTCATACACAAAAATGAAACCCGAACCCGATCTTATGGGTTTACTGGCATCCTGCTAGTTATCGATATCGCCGCTTAGATATTTAATCGTTTTTAAAAATAAAAAATGTTTAATTTTTTTCATTCTTCTATTGGGCAGTTCAAAACGGTATTTACGAAAATCATATTAAAGAAATTAAGTCCCAAATTCATCGCGCACTTAATGAACTGATACAACTCTTTAATTGATTCGCCAATTTTTCAACTCCTCTTTCGACCCGTTACTATGAACCGAATCTCGTGCACTACGAATCACGTAAAAACTGAACAGATCTACGAGAATGAAAACCTGCCTGCTCCTTATATCGTATGAGGGCGTTAGGTCCGCTCTGCAGTTGGAAAAATTGAGGTTTCTTTGCAGGACTGTTGGTGCGACAATTTCAGACAAGAGGTATAACATTGTTTATATATTTTTACTTTTGAGCCTGTATCGGAACTCGGAGCTGAGAACTTGTAACTCGGTTCCGATGACAATTCCGTTTGCGTAGGTTCCAATGCCTATCCATTATTTTAAATGAACCACTGGTCCCAAAGTCATGGACAGACAAAGGGCAAAAGAATAGTTGGCCAACATTAAGCCATTTGGATTCTAGTCCGCTGGGCGGCTTACTGAAACATCTGCACTACAGCCAGAAGTGAATAGTGAGCTGCGAATGTCATTGAACAGATTTATAGTCTATGATGGCTTAAGCTTGACCGCTTAATTTCATTTATTATATTCTTTCACTGCATCCATACACAAAAGTTATCATCCATGCATTACAGTTGACAGCGATTCGCTGATGCAAACTCTGATCCTCTCCCATATGCTTTCTAGACAAGTGATGGCTAGCAGGTTCTGCTGCAGGAGCTGGTCCAAGATTTAAGCCGATATGACAGCTGACAAACAGTGGCATGCAAGAGTTGTGTTCACGGTGACTTTATACAATTGAAACGTCGAATGTCGAAGCCCCGTTGTTTCATCCGAGTTGATGGTTATCAGTGCCCTCTACCTTACAAGACCGCTTTGAGGACATAACCGAGTTCTGCCGAGCCATGTTGTCACGACCTGTTCAGCCTGTAGAAGTTCGCTACAGTTTTCTATAAGAAACAGGCTGAAATAATGGAAGGTGTTACTCAGAAAGTCGATATTGTTCAGAAACGTTCATTGCCACTTCGACAAAAGGAAGCGTCGACTTCAAGGAGGCGTTGAAAACGGTCGGTCGAGTGTTTGCCGAAGAATAGACGATGGCACCGTCGCGAAGAGGATGCTGGTCGCAAAGCCTGGTGACAAACGGCTGCCAGGTAGCAGACGTCAAGCAACATGGGAAGATCTCGTTAGAAATGATATGATATCGAAAGGATTGAAGAATGAGCACACATTTATTCGAACCAGTCGAAATGCTGGCTGGCGTCGTCATTGATGCAGATCAAGAAGAAGAATGGTAGTATTTTACGTTAACTATCACTCAGATCTTTCACGTGACACTTCTAGAATTTAATGGAAAAAAATAATGAATAAATACTTGTCTCTCTTCACAAACTTGGGTCAAATCAGATCTTACTAATCAACATTTTCACAATGAAAGAACTTTTATTTGGTTTCAAGCTTCCGTTGACAGTTTTCTTTCGCAGTACTTGACATCCGTCAGGGCTACAAAACACATCCAGTCCATATGGAAGGCGCATTATGCGTTTAATTATGTTCAACTAATTAAATTACTTTTGCTGATGAGTCCCAAATGATAAGCTAAATATAATTAATATTGGCATTGTCATCATGCTCTTTCTTACCAACCAATATATCCATAAAGTATGAATTTCAAGATTGCACAAGTGATGCAATGTACATGTCAATGCTGCTCATGCGAGCGTGGTGCCATAAGGTGAAGTTACTCGGACTCGCCCAGTTTTCAAAGCAATGTTTTAAAGTAACCATTGAAATTAATTTTCATATGTGACATGCATTCCAAAGTACTTAGCAAAGAAGGTCAGCCTTAAGACTGCGTCGTTAGGTCGCGTTGGTCGACCACTGTACGAAGGGTGTGGCGTCAGGGACATAAGTTTAATGCGAACACCGCGCGCTCGCTAACCTGCTTGGAGACACGAAACGGAATTCGACGAATAACTTAACGACATCAGACACGAACTAAAATTTTCTCTGATGACGTCCGTTTAAATCAAATGATGATAATTAGACTTTGGTGATTGTCGTTGCGTTGGGAAGCATTATGTTATTGTTCTATGCAATAAAGAATTTCATCATTTGTTCTGCAATTGACACTTTGACAGGAAGATTTTGAGGAAGTGTCCACAGGCGATTTTGGCACTTTCACATTTGCGAATAAACAAAGACGCGCCGAAACATTGACATAAAACCTCACATGTACAAATAGAGCATTTCAGTCGTACTGCTCGAATGTCGAGGTGTTTGGTATGAAGTAGCGACGACCGCCACTGCAGCGTACATTCCAAACTCATTGTGGTTGTTGAAACAGTGAGCACGGTATAACAGAACAATAAATTCAGCCTGCTGTTTAGACTGTTGACGATATGAAGCATAATTCCGCGATCTTTAGCTTGATCCTCGTTATCAACTCTTTACACCTGAGTTGCTTCCATTTATTTACGTGGCATCCGTCCACTTCCGTCTGTATTTCCACTTAGTGTCAGGAATGACTATACTCTACATTTAGCATACAGTTCTCTGTTCAGCGAATGAAGCCATTTTTTGATATTTTCTTTGACGGTAAATATTGACTCAACAATGGCTGAACATCTTTAGCCAGGCTCACACTCAGAGTTTCCTTCATCTGAGTCACATTTTTTCACGACCGTAAGCAGAACCTCATAACTGCTTGTCATCATGTTTCCAACTAATCATATCAGATTCAGGAATATCTCTACCATCAGCCACAACAACCCTTTCGACGAGAGATGTGAGAAACCTGTCGCCTATGAAACTTCAGCGTCGAAATACAATGGCTCTGCCTGTAGACATTCTCAGCTCATTTAACTAAACCAGTTACTGGAAATGTTAGCGGAAATTCCCACAATGCAAAGACCTTTGGCTTGGTTGACCGCAACAGACTGTCGCAGTGGTAGGCGACAGAAAAACGATATTGTCAGTGAATGTAGGGTCACACACACACACATACAAAGCATGGGTGGTATTAACATCAGGCCATTAATACGTTGCACGTTGTTGACGTTGTGATCATTGGACGACTTGAAAATTTTGGCACCCAATTTCACAGATTACTTTTAAGTTCTGTCCTCTGGTTAGTGTTGTCGACGATCTGAGAGTTACGAAGTATCTGGGTCTATGAATGACATGATTCATATTAATCGGCCGGAAGAGATGATCGTGTTGACCATTGTATCTGCAGCTTTGGCTCTTTCCCAATTTTACTACCATTCACTCGTCATTGAATTTAAATATGCGTTTATTTCATTTATTCCAGAA